CTCCTCTCCTCTCCTCTCCTCTCCTCTCCTCTCCTCTCCTCTCCTCTCCTCCTTCCCTTTTTTCATCAAAGACTGATGAAAGTCAAAGCCTTAATTTTTTGTCTGTGTGTAAAAACTTGTATTTTTTTACAGCAAAAAGTAAAATTTCTAAAACACATTACTGAAGAAAATGGAAAGCAGGGAAAGACATTATCTTGATGACATACAAGGTTCTTTATCCTTTTCATCTCACTCATACTATTTTATTCCAATAAAGGTTTTGACAGCTAAGATAACATGTGGATAAAACAGCAGGTGTGAGTCAGACCTTACTCCAAATTTCATCCTGGAGAGAATAACAAGTACAATCTAGTTTATCTTAAAACAAAAGATAGGAGTATTGGTAAGAAAAATTACATAATGAAGCTTTATATATTGTTTTATTAATATGTAAGGCTACAGTACAAATGACAATATTTTACATTATAAAAATATACTTTACTTCTCCCGCCTCAAATATGTCTGAATTCAATCAATGCTAAGAATTCGTCCAGACAAAATGTGTGCTCTTTACAACTTAGTTTCTAACTTGTAGCAATGGAAGAAAATAATTGTATGATTTATGATGTTCTCTTTCAGTTATGCAGCAATGTATGAGTTACAAACATATTACTATTTGATAAATAGTTTTGAATTTTATATATACTTATATATTTATAGTGCAGAGTGAAAAAAATTAAAGCATTTTAGGGTGTTTAAAAACTTGTTTTCAAACTTCAATTTTTTTGTGGATTGACTTCTAAGTTGTTTGGAATATAGACTACAAGATAATAATGAGAATGCTTATAGTGTATATAGTGTAGCCACTGGAATTATAATACAAAAGAAAATGACATGGTAAACTTGGAAGCAAAGCACAGACTGCCACTAGCTGTTCTCTGGATTTAAATTACAATAGTATAATGCTATGAATAATTACTCTTGTGTAGAAGTCAAATTTATATTTGCTTTTAAATTAGGGTGCATCTTTTCCCTGCAAGCACCAAGGTAATCCCACCACAACTTTCACAAACCTTGCTAAAATCTCACTGCTATTGTGAGTGACATGCAGAGGCAGCATAACACAGCAGAAGTAACACATGACAAGGAGACAACATGTAATATAACTCACTCCATTACATTTTTGGTCACATAAAAAGCAATTCTGTTTTCAAGCAGACATTGGCATGCACTTTATTTATTTCTGGACTTTGCTACTGTTCCCAGATTTGTTGAAATGATCACTGGCAGCTTGGGCATATAGGAGTAAGTTACAATCTTCTTTATACTACCATTTTATAAACCTCTCCTTTTCTTGTGTTGTTCAATGTTGTTTTTTAATTTATGCTTGGTCTGTAAATGTGCACACACATGTTAAGTCTGATGCAAATTTTTTTTAGTCCTTCACCTGCTAAAAAAGCTTTTGATGCACCAGTGTAATTAGTACAAAACTTGAAATAATCTTATTAGATACTCAACTACAGTTAAAAGTATTTGCTTTACAATAATGACATTAAGAAAGCTTTTTCCTGTCAAAGTATATATTATATTTGAAACTGAAAATACATGTCTTTTTCATCCTTATGTACTCAAAGAAATATTCATTGCAATCATGTAACTAAATACCATGAGATAGACTAAGTAGTTGACTTAGAATGAAAAACACCCTCACGAATTCATAAAGCCCAGTCTACCTTGTTATAGCTTGTACAATTACTGCCAGTGAAAAGCAGCCTTGAAAAATATTGTTATAATATGACTTACTGAACACTGAAAAGTGAAGTAGAATGCTTCACCTGAAGTAAAACTTTAAAAGCAAAATATACTAATTCTTATTTGATTGCTTATTCATATATATTGTCTTACTATTTGTTATCAGGCACTTTGCAATTTTATTAATTCTCTAATTTCAAACTTTTTCTTCTCAGGAGCAAAACCAGCAATGAGGTCAAATGGATTAATATGTTGAGCTGAATATCTTTTACACAGTTTTGAGTGCTTTTGCTGGGAGACACCTGAGATCAGTTGCTATAGTAATATTTTTCAAGAGAATCCTGTGTTGATGTTGTTTATATGGGGTAGAAATGCAGAGAGGAAATGAACCACTTTGTTTTTCCATGCACAGAGGAAGGCCAGCTTGCACAGCTGTTAACAAATGAGCAAAAATGTCACAGATTGGTAGCCATTTGGAGGTGGGTGGAGTGGGAGATGAGTGGAGAAGAAACAGGTCAGATCCATACCACAAAGTTGGGGGAAGGTGTAAGTAATGACTATATATACATGTATTCTAATTAACTCATTAGCTGTTAGGGAAGATACCAAGAGGAGCATTAGAGATGCATGTTTCAGCTCTCCAGCCTCTTGCTTGAACCAGCTCTGGTAGCACCTGACAACCTGGTTCAAAGCCTTCGCAGCCAAACTTC